AATTAAGTTATAAAAAAGAGAGTGAAAGGTTTGAATAAATTAGTACAGATAGATAACGTCTGTAGGTAAGTAAATAAATGTATGAAGAGACAAAGAATCACTGGGTTTGTGTGTTATTCTATTTCAGTTTTTTCGATACTCTTTAGGGGCACTAACTTGCATTTAGAAAGAAAATAGGTTATATTTATCCCAAGTTTATCAACCAATCTGATCCCTTCAGTCTTTTTCTTTAGCAAACTACCATTATTAGCCTTTGGAATTTGAAAAAGGTGAGGTCTTATGGGTTGGCTATTTGGTCGTTTTGGAACTGATAGGGATTGCAAACTTATAGAGGGAATGCAGCTAGTCAACAGCACTCTCTGCCACATTTTAGACTACTCTAAACAGATAGTGGGATTAGACCGCCACTCTTATAAGACACCAACTGAGCACCTTTTGCGGAAACAGGACACGAACCTTGGACCCTCTGTGTGACAGTCTGACGTACTAATCATTAAGCCATTCATATTCCACATTTGTAGGGTAGATTTGGTTTTCATGATGCTAAATATCGTTATGTTTTAGGTTGAGAAATTCCATTGCATCTGATTTATGAAATAAAACAACTTGAATATTTACTAAGTGTTTTATGCTTCATTTCACAAGCTTCACACCAGATGTTATATCAGATCAAAAAACTTTTTTCTGGTGTATCGACACAGGTTCCAATCTATTGAAGAAACATTGGGAGGTATTAGTTTTAAATATTGATACAATATTTTACTCACAATAATCCCGTAAAAATAATTTAAGGTCTTGAAAAAATAACATGAAAATATTATGCCAGGCTTTTATTAAACTTCGTTTTTTAACCCAGTAAAGTAACTATCTTAGTGTGAAAACTGTTAATCACATCACGATATTCGCTGTGAGTGTTCTGATGTTATGACAGTCGAGATTATTTACCAAAAATTAGAAAGTATTCATAGTGTGCATTAATGTCTTGACTGCCGATATAATAACACCAGTGAATAAACCCCAAAAAATATGTTAACAAAAGAATTACAAATTTTGCACTGACAGTTATGTTATAAAGAGTGTATGCAGTTCTTACATAGGTTAGCTATACCATAATCTTGAAATTTCGGATTTATACTATAAAAACAATAATTGTGAGATAACAGAACACACATGTGTTGACTGCTGCATAACCACTGTCTTGAGTTTTATACAGTCAACATACTCATCAAAAATGGGACTTTATAATACACAATGTATTTAAATAATATAAAAAATCGCATGTCATTTGTGTTGTTAGACAATATATAAATTTATTAGTTTATATTGCTTTAACAATTAATTGTGTTATAGTTCAGACAAGTCTATGTTTCAAGATCATCATTTATGTTGTTGTGAAATAACACAATGTTTGAGTTAATTTACAACACAACTTTTTAAAGCGTAATTCATTCATTTATATTGACAAGTCATTCGAATAAACAATACAGAGAAATTATAAGAACAAAAGTCATGAACAATAATCTTAGCTTTGCCCATGGCAGTTAGACAGATAAAAACAATTACAGCTATGTTCGAGTATCCTGATAAAGCCGTAAATATAAAACGTGGCAGATAAAGCGATGTTATAATTATCTAACAATGGACTATTAGTACCTGTACACTTCCAACATGCGATAGAATTACTTCAAACACTATATTTAACATGATCATTATTTTCTACCACATGGTATTTACATCTATTTATTTTATATTTCTCATATCAGGAAACGTGATTTAGCGTGTTTCGTATGTTGAGCTAGATGAAACTCTAACTTTAAAAACTTTGTCTATGTCTGTTTGTGATTTAACAAAACTATGATAGTCTCGTCACAGAACTTCGTGCTTTTGTGGTCCTTGTGAAGATATGCTAAAGAGAGATAGAGAGACATACCAGTCTGATCTTTATTCTTCTTACTCATTTAAGTGTTAAGTTATTATTTCAATTTCTGTTGAGGATACAGTTTGACAGATCTCAGAAGGAAACAAAGACACAAAGACATATCAAGCTTCTTTGAATAACATTCTCTATGCTAAATCTAACGAGGCTGAGAAGAGCTAACATAGCAGTCCTCAACTAATTATGGTAATGGATTTGAAACACAATATGAACAAACGTGTTTCATATTACAATTTTTAATTTGTTATATAACAAGAAAGGTTGGTGTAGATTGTGTTAAAATATGTGCATCTTTCTACTCTTTTGCACGAAAGAAGAAAGAGGTTTTTGTTTTAACAGAATTTACACAAGTTTAAAAGTTCTAATTTCCTGTTCGTTTATTTTTAATATAATTTTAGTTTATGTAGCTCCACCTTTAAATGGCATAATTTATGAAGAACTTTAAAATTTTGAAATCAACAAAATGTGTATGATTTATCGTTTAAACACAAAATATTATTTAAATTCCAGACACAGGCCACATGTTGCGCTTAAAGAGTTGTGTCTCGTGAGTTACGTCACAGGACGTTATGGAGGTGATCATATCCATGTTTCGAGAAAGTCGTGAAATGGAAATATTTAAATGTTTTACGTGTTAAATCATTAACAATAAACAGTACTTAAACTTGGTTTATAATTTAATTTATGTTTGAAAAATATAAAATCGTTTTAATTCTTTTAATAATATTTAGATGTTTAAGGTTGGGATATATTCCTGTGAAGTCAGCTTCTGCAAAGGCAAAAACTAACAACAGAATAAATTCAAATCCCGAGGCTCTACTTAGCAGGAAGCTGCTTAAGTCTTCTAAGCTAACATGTCGAAATTTTCGGTTTCTTTAATTCATTGACTGGTAAAGACGACATTTCAACAGCTTGTAAAACCGTTCGATTAAGTTTGATTTACAGCGATGCTTCAGGGTGACATGTTCGTCCAGTAATATCAGAAAGTTTCTGAAAAAGTGAAAAATGAATTTTTTGCTTACAGGGCAGATATTTTAGCAAACTAAGTTATCTCCTACTCAGCTGTTAGGCTATTTATTATGTCTATTCTAAAAATATTTCTGGACAGCTTTGATGGTCGCACATTGTTCGTGCTTTTATAAGAACGTGTTCACTTAACATCATCAGTTTTATCAATGTTTACTTCTTTATATTTTTAATTTTATAATTCTATGTCCGAATTAATTCAGTTTTACCTCGTTATACTAATTTTAACAAATGTAAAAAGTATAAACTTTTAAGATGAAAATTCTTTATGTTTCCACTCGTTAATTATTTGAATTGCATTTACAGATGCCAATTTTAATTAACTCCAATATGAACAATCAGACAAAACAAAGTTATTTCACATTCTATTTACTCAAAATAGAAAAACAGGATTTTAAGTTTTACTGTATTTCATAGTAGCTCTAGCTACCTGTGTAGTGTATATATTAATCACTACATTTTGCATTGTAAGTGTAAATGTGCAACTTTTTTATGTGTGTGACTTGATAATAATACATTCATAGAAACTTTCCATTTCTAAATAGATAATTTAATTTCAATTTCATAAGCTAATAAAACACTTTTGGGTTCATTTGGTTAAGGAAGGGAAATGGCTCAAAATAAATCTTCTTGTGTTTTTGTTCCATGGATGACTTACATCACAAACTTTAAAAAAGAAGGAATCCTCAATAGTCGCGGCTGTAATTAGATCTCAAATCGGTCAAGAGATGGCGCTATGAGCCAAAAGTTTGTACTTGAAAAAAACTCGGAGCCATTCTATGAGCCGCTATGCCGTAGCTAAAAACAATTAATTATATGAATCATAGACACTACAGGATATGAAACGTAAAGCTTTCGTCTTACAAAACCGTTTATAAAAGTAAACGTAAATGAAATAAAACACGGTATTACGCTGATACTGATTCAGCAGGAAGTTAGAATTTTTACTATTTCTAATCTATATAGTTATATTACTCAACTTTTTTATTCAAGTGTCAGTGTAGTGTTACAAGAATGTTTATATTCATAATTACTGTATTATTATATTTAATACAGAAGTTATGTAAATTCATAATTTATGAAAGGTTATCTTTGGACATGAAAAGTTGCTTCCCATTGTATGTAATTGTAAAAAACGCTCATAAAAAATGCAAAACACAAAATGTGAAATCGCAAGTTTGTAGGTATCTCCCAAAGAACCTCCATACGAAATTTGGTGAAGATCCAACTACAGAAGGCGAAGTACTTACATGGACATAGAGTACTATTATATTTATATAGATTCAGTTCTATATAATAATAGTTTCTGAGGATAATAGCTAGCATCTTTAATTTTCAATTGAATAATAGATTATACTTTTCTTACAAAGAATGTTCGGCTCCAGAGTTTACTTTATTTCTTCATCTAATAAGAATTTATGTAATATTTTATTATCCTTCACGTACCTTTTAAAGAATAAATTATAGTAAACTATGAAAAATCAAATGAGCGTGTTTTTGTAGCTCAAAACATGAGTATAGAGCATACTAAGTTTATATTTTCCGCCCTGTTAGAATGAAGGATATTTGTTCGCATTCAAATCGATTCACACAAATTTCAAAATGAATGTTGTCGATAGTATTTCACGTTAAACTCTAGGCTACGAAATTTTGTTTTTATCTTATCTGTAGCAATGACAGTTGAAAGTCTACCTTCTCAGAAATGTCATTATTAATTATTTTCTTTGATTGAAGTTTACGAAGTTAAATGTCTTCTTGGTAACACTTTCAAAGGAAAAGTACACATTCTTAAAAATCTCATTAGCAATTTTTATTTTATTGAATTTACTCTTGTTGTTTCACATATTTGTTTCAAACCGAAAATTTTAAGTTTTTTTTAAACTGAAAGTTTGCAGAATTTAAAAATATTATAACAAGTTTGGAAGGTAGTTATTTTGAAAATACTCATGTATAGGCAGTAAATGAAAAACGAATGCAGTTTTTCTCATCTTTTTTGTTTTATTATGAGCATAATTTATGAAATATTTTTGTCTCATAGATGTCATCTTCCGGCTCCAGTCTTTTCTAGAAGTGATTTGAACCTTTGGAGTATTTTGAAACATTGTATAGGAAAGGTGTGTATTCAATAGTGCCATGTACTGACGTGCTACAAATGTTTGTATGACAATAAATAGTTCTATTTAAAAAAAAACGCAATACACAATCTATTCTGAACAATAAGATGAATGAAGTATTCTATTTGAAATTTCTATAGTTTCCTTTAGCATTTTCTTTCTTGTTTAGTAACTAAGGTTAGGCAAATACTTAATTTTATTTATAACATTTTAATCATTTAAACTGAATATAATTTTGACGCGTATTTTCCTCACTCTTACAATATCTGCAGACTTAAGTAGCATCAGCAGTAAGGCCAAAATAATCCAAGATATTGTATTTACCATGTCACATTCCAGGTATTCAGGTATATTTTCTTTGTATTTGTGGATTTGTTGTGTTTTAACCATCCAGTGAATTACGTGACATTACATCAAGTTTTTATTGTCTATTCAAGGATCTATCGAAGGTTGCAATGCCAGTTGTGTTTAATGAACCCCTCAGCTTTCTTCAGCGTATTACAGAATACATGGAATATAGTTTTTTGTTGCATCGTGCTGATGAATGTGATGATCCAGTAGATAAAACTAACCTAGTGTTATTTTGTGTTCAAAAATACTTTTATCCCTTAAACAAAGTTTTAATGCCAATATAATTTTTTACACTTTTGTTAATACTGATATACATTGCAGCTACCTCTTTTCTACTTCAAACAAAAATATTACAACAAATGTGAGTGAACGACTTCAGTACGACTTTAAAGATTTAGAAACAGCTGTAAGAATGATTTAAGAACATCTCAGCTAAACCTATTTTATTCAAACGAAATACACTATATCATTGTAACATAGCATTATTCTGGTATTGGTGTTTTAAGACCAATATTAAACTTTAGAGAAGAATGGTATAGACATTTTAAGTTCAAGAAGAAACCTCCAAATTTAAGATTAAAGATAAGTTTCAATAAGGAAAATGCATAATGGTATCAATCTTTTAAGATCAAAGATTAGCTGAAATACTAAACTTTAGAGAAGAATGGTATAGACATTTTAAGTTCAAGAAGAAACCTCCAAATTTAAGATTAAGGATAAGTTTCAATAAGGGAAATGCATAATGGTATCAATCTTTTAAGATCAAAGATTAGCTGAAATATTAAACTTTAGAGAAGAATGGTATAAACATTTTAAGTTCAAGAAGAAACCTCCAAATTTAAGATTAAGGATAAGTTTCAATAAGGAAAATGCATAATGGTATCAATCTTTTAAGATCAAAGATTAGCTGAAATATTAAACTTTAGAGAAGAATGGTATAGACATTTTAAGTTCAAGAAGAAACCTCCAAATTTAAGATTAAGGATAAGTTTCAATAAGGGAAATGCATAATGGTATCAATCTTTTAAGATCAAAGATTAGCTGAAATAGTTTATTAACTAGATAGTTATAGATTAAGATATTTCAAAACAACAATATCTACGTCTTCAGAACAACTTTGGTTCCGTGTTTCATAGCTTTTACACGAATTGTTATAGTTTTCAGAATAACCGAAAATAATTTGTTCACATTTTAGGTTTTTATTTTAAATCTTGGAGATGTTTATTTACAGGGATTTTTACCTGAATTCTGAAGACTGTAATCATTTATACACTAAAACACTGTATATTGCTTGAAAAATGTTTTTTTTGCAAATGTACTAATATTGTTTATTTTTGAGACCCAAAACACTGATCTTCTATGTAAGTTATAAAGTTTAATGTTGTATTAGAGTTGTTCGAATAAAGAAACCAAATATTAATTTAGAAAGAAAAATAAAAGAAGGGAACCAAAGTGACTTAATAATCTTTCCGTATTACGGTCATATTAGTATTATTACAATCATGCTGTAAAAAGGATTCTTGATCCCTCTGTAACAATATATTGCTCTATTCCCTGTATATGAAAAAAAAAGACTTGATAATATTTGTAAAACTAGTTTACAAGGGCAGATTGGCACTCTTTGTCAGCCATTATCCTCGACACTTCTCAGTATTAAACATTACGTGAGCACGCATAAAATGCAAAATGAAAAGAGTAGAAAGGAACGAATTTAAAGCAATAAAGTGTAAATTCTTACGCTATAGCAACGTTTCTTGACAAGTTAAGAAAACCATCATATGTAGTTGAAATATCAGCTTTACTATTGAGACAGAAAATACTGGTAACATAGAGGTAACTACATGATAGGTAACGCCCCATACGACAATAAAGTTCTAGCTCCATTTTCTCAGAGTCTAAAACTCTCATTTTAAATAAATATTCCCATTAAGCCTAGTTGTAACTAAATATTTTGTTAGTTACATTTCTTCATCCCTGTTTTTTCTTCGCTAAAGTATGTGGCAGCTTTTGCCGTTTCTGCCCTGGCATCCAACTGGGAAAGATTAGGAAAACCTTTTAATCCTCTTCTCGGGGAAACTTATGAACTTGTCAGGTAGGTTAAGTAATATTTTTTATTATCGTGCACTATGTCTCTTTTTAAATAAATGTTCCAGATTTGAAATAAGACCTCTGTTTTGCATTCTGGTAAAATTCATTTCTTTCTTAAAACCAAGCATTTTTAACAAACCTAAATATATTCTTAGAGAAGTGCCAGTCATTTAAAAACTTTGTATTTTATGGCACTATGTATTTTTTTTCTGCTTGAGAATATTCCACACAGCTACAAAGATATATCTGCATATAGTCATCCTTAATTTTGAACTGATACATTAGAAGGAAAGCAACTAACAACGCCCATTGCTAATTCTTTTATGCCTGACTGGTGGGATTTGACTACCACTCCTATAGCATACCCACGGCCCCAAAGTGCAACAGGAAACGAACCATGAATCCTAGGATTCACAGTCCGGACACGCTGACTACAAATCCATGCCCGATCTTTACACTAGCTTCTTAGCAATAGTTACTTTTGTTTGTTAATAGTCTTAGAAAGAGGTTATGGTTCTTATTTAAACGTTTTTCTTTCAGTTTAAGCAATCTCAGCAAAGAGCGATTTGGGGAAAGTTTTAGTACCTAAAGTAGAAGATATTCCATGATATCTCAGTTTTATGGCAAACAACTTTTTCTGTATAAAAGGACGTGAAAATTATTTCTATCAATGTATTTAACACAATAAACTTGGCAAATTTTTGAGCTGCTGTTAAATGGTTCTTCAAGTGGTTAAATAAATATGACTAGTATTACGAATTTTGTCAAACCTAATCGTTGCTTGAATAATGGAGAGTATCAATGACTCCTTCTTCTACACACTGTATATTGATAATTACGTTTTTTCTCCATAATTATTCAGTAAGAAATATTTCTACTAAGCTGTGTTGTTCAATAAACACTTGGGATTTTTGTTCCTTGATCAAAAATATATTTTTACTTTGCAGTGTATTAGTTGACACCTTTAACATGTTTTTAAGCAGAAGACTATTTTTATCGGATCGTCGAAGAAGTCCATAATATTGTTTGTTTTTCCTTAATTTTTAATTACAGTCACTGCTTTTTGTCCTGAAAACTTTCATTTCACATTTTCTATATTCTTCATTTGTTGGTAAGATTTATTTTTCTTTCAATTTCTCTATCAAAAATATGTTATCAAAAACTTCTACTTCAGTCACAAAAGACGAGAAGTGGAAAGTTCTGCAAATGTATTCTTTTTCTTTTCCTACTCTTTATGTAAACACACTTTAATCTTAACATTTTTTCTGTTAACATTTTTTAAAATGTTGTTGTTATTAATGGCATGTTTTCTGTTCTCAAGATTCAAATTGAAATATAAAAATGGCAAACTTAAAATATGATAACATTCCAAGACAATATGCAAGTGTTAAAAAAACCTTGTTAAAATACTCTGCATGAGGAAATGAAATCTAACTTGAAAAGCTGTTTTTTTTAGTTACGAGAAGTTTATTTGGTGTTATCTAGAAATTTGAACGTAATATATAATTAAAACTGACAAAGAATGTATAAATCGTAATAGGATTTAAATAGATCATTGACCTATTGTAAAGAACAGAATCAGGAAGAATTTGTGTTTTGTAGCTTTGATAAACTATACGAATGAGTCTTTAGTCACCTAAGGCAAGTATTTTTGTAGTGAGCTGTTTGATATAATCAGAGTACCAACATCATATGAAAACTGTAGATTCAGAAAGAAATGGATTATATTTCTTAATTCATAAAAGGTAAAAAAATTAAGAAATTAAGTATGTATTCTAAAAATCTGAAGGAAAGTAATGTTTAACTTTATGTAATTCTTGGTGGATAAAGGTATAAAACGTGCAAAAAGAATACCACCTTAATAATTTTTTGTTTTAATCCAAATATAAAAGTTTTTCACTCTTGAGCATATAACAGTAATTTTGATACACAGTATCCTCCGCTACATGCACTTATTCCTAAATCCATGCCTACCTGGATCAGAACAAATGAATTGTTTTCAAAGAAAGAAAAGTCTTAAAAGTTAGTATTTGTAGCAACATAAGTACTATATGAATATTTCTAATGCATTCAATAAATAAAGTAACGCCCTTCTGTGGAGACATTATAAATTAAAATCAAATAATGTATTATAGTATTTTAAGCTAGTATATCTATCAAAGTCAAAATCAAAACAACAAACACAACTTATTCATAGGCCTAACATTCGTGGTAAAAAGTATGTAAAGTGCAGTCGTTTTTGGAGATTTTTCTTCATGTGTTTATTTCGATTTAAAAAAAAAGGTGTTTAAAAATACCATTTCGACATTTAAACAGGAACAACGTATTCATGCTGTTAACCTGGTGCTATTTTCTAATACAAAAAATTGTATTGGCAAATTTTATGAAACAAAAAGGAAATATAACTATTGCTAAACATAGTGTTTTTAATCTACCAGAAAAACTTAACACAAATTCCCTTTTCGTGTGTGCAGGGAAGACATAGGTTTTAGGATCATATGTGAACAGGTCAGCCACCACCCACCAGCAAGTGCTTTCCATGCTGACTCTCCACATTTTATTTTTCACGGCTTTATTCACCCGAAGCTCAGGTTCTTGGGAAAGACTGTTGAAATCAAACCAGAAGGAACCCTCACTGTAAAACTTTTAAGGTAATTAAATGTAGAAAGAAGTAAAATATTTAATGATGGAGCACTTTTTTAATAGAAAATGGTATAGCAAGACTCAGGCAAGATTAAAGTCCGCTATTATAACTTAAACAAATAATAAAGCCACCGTTTGAAAAATGTTACTTTTCGTACAATAAATTAAGTGTATTATTTCATTAATTTACAAACAATGCTCTAGAGGAATTCCCATTTTTCATAGTTTAACGAGTTTTAATTTATTTATTTTGTCACTATGTAAAAAAATCTGAAATGATTAATCGAGGGTTAAAAGTTACTGCATGGCACATGTGAAATACATAATAAAATAATTACGTGTAATATCTTTGTTTTATAGATGCTATCCATCTCTAATTTCCTTTACATTAAAACCTTTAAACAATAATAAAGAATATTTTTTATTCTATAAAAACCTATTGTAAGACCATTATTGTTGCACTTCAAAGTTTGCATATCGAGCAAAGCTAATAAAATGTAATTTAAAGTATTGCAGTAATACCACTGTTTTTATGTGTTATTTGAAAGGTATTTGTTGCATATTTATAAGATGGTTAAAATTAGTAGTTCAGAAGGATGATGAGCTTATCGTATGGTTTCTTAACATACGATTAACCCATCAACATTGTAATCTACATTTAATTATATGTCCTAAAACGTTACAAGTAAACCATTACTTTAAGGATATAACTATTATAGCATAATGTATTATATATGTCCATATTTATCACACATAATATCTTAATTTATCTGTTATTTGACCGAGATTAATATTAGAGCATAGCCAATAATTTACTTTAGATACGTTTACAATTATCTGTCCTGAAAGGATTTTATCATACCTAATGTTTCTTTTTTATAAATATTGAACGAGACAGTTAGTATAGCTGATTTTTTATGATTTACTACACATTTAACATACTGCAGTATAGTTTTTGCTTCTATATTTAATTATATTTTTGACAATTATCATCTTAAAAAGGGCGCTTACTTAAATCTCATGTTTCATGTTTAGCTTTATAAATTGATTTGTTCCACTAAAGTTTATAGGATCTACCTACATATTTAACTATTATTATCCTTACCTTTCTGTAGATATTTTCACAAATCTTTGTCTTGTACTTGTTTCTTGCTGGTTTAGAACTTTATGCATAAAACTTATAAAAGAATTTTCTTTATGCGTAAATTAAAACGTCTGCAACGATTATCTTGTACAGATTCCTATCTCACACTAATACTGTCTAAGAGGTGCAACTCAAATGGTGTTGGTACACTTTAGAGATTGTTAGGAAATACAAAGGGCAGGAGAGATCATCACATAGCCAAACAACCAGTCCCCTTTTAAAACTTGTACAATATAGGATCAGTAACACTGAAAATAAATATCTGGAATTGGAAAGTTTTGTAACACAAACACACATACACACACGCAAACACGCATATGTGTGTGTATGCGTATCTACATAAATATAATAGTACTGTCTGTTGTATGTCCATGTAACTACGTTTGTGGATGAATCTTCACCAAATTTGGTGTGGAGGCTCATTAGGTCCATGCGGAGATACATGCAAATTTGTGGTTTCACATCTTGAGTTTTGCAGTTTTTATATGCATATCTACATTTTTTACAATTACATACATAAGAGAAGCAACTTTTCATGTCCTAAGATAACCTTTCATTAATCATG